GAGGGTGGTAGCAAGGCTACCTCTAAGGGCGATTGATTAAAGTGAAGAAGGGGAAAGATGTTCTAGATAACAGAGTTTCCGATCTGCCTGTCTCTTCACAAGAGCCATCGAGTTGAATATTAGTGTTGCTGTCCGCTCTGAGAATTGCTCTCCTGAGAGCATTTCTGATCCTCCTTGTCGTCTAGACTGTTGGCAATGCCCCCCATCTCACAGCGTATTTGCCGAATCGGAAGTTAGACTTTCCGGGAAGGCTCTTTACCCATTTGCCATTGTCACTACTGGTACCTGACCCCGTGGGCCGGGTCTCATGTAATCCTCTTAAGTTTCATTACGTGGAGTCAGGGTTCCAAACCTATAAGTCTGTAGTTGACTCCTCATGGATAGAGTATGGCCCACTTCTGCCTTCCCAACAGTCCTTTCCCGACCTTAAGGAGAGGCCTATCGATGATCGAGCCTACAAGGGGCTAAGTGCCACTCGTTGGAGTGTGGTACTTGCTTGACAGCTGGGATCTTTCCTAGGTGATGGCTGGGACTGCGTTTTCTTTGGGGACGCAGGTTTCCATCTGAATTGGAGGAGGCCTATATAAAGAAATTCTTTACAGTCTACTTTGCTGGCCTTGAATCTTCTTTCTTGAGTTTGACTGGCTTAGTAGCCACCTGGGCAACCTTTGACTCTGAAGGGAGGTTCAAGGTGTTGCACAAGCTCCTTGGGGGGCACTTGACTTGGGGGGAGTGCCCGCACCGTTAAGGGAGTCTTTGTGTGGCTCAGGTTAGATTATGCCATGGTTATCTCCTAATGGGTCTCATCTTTCTACTAAGCGGACTATTAGTTTCAATCTTTTATTGAACTAGTCGTTCATCAAAGCTTCCGGGTGAAAAGCTAGGTGTAAGTCCTTATATTCGGGGCTTACCTAGGATACAGACAGACCTGCTATTTGCTATGGTGAGCGCGGCGTAGGTTGACAACCTTGTCGCGGATGACAACTGATGATAAGACTTTATGGCTGTCAGCCACAACTAACTAGAGATAGGGGAGATTATCTGTGTGACATCGATTCGGTGGTTAGAGAGGTTAGTTCAGGGCCCTGATAATCATCACCGGGCGTCTGACACCAGAGCGATCACGGCATTTACTCGGGTTTAGCCTAGACAACGGTTCAAGGATTATCTTGTCCTTGGTGACGTTTGGCATCGGGACCGTAAGGTCGTTGTTGAATATAGGAAGATCTTAGGCAATCAGGGGGTTTACTCCAATCGGAAGACTTGCTTTTCCATAGGGATTGAATGCCGGATTAATCACTTCACGGGAGAGAACACGAGGGATGAGCGACGATCGACCTACCGCTCCGTGGGTTTGTACTAGTAGATAAGGTAGTTCATGAGTTCGTATTACAATCAGAGGGAGGAAAAGCAATGACCAGATGGTAGTGATCAAAATCTCCTAAAGAAAGGTAAGGCCATAGTAGAAAGCACTTATCCGCTAAGGCTTCGCCAGTTCCCATGACAGTTGGTGGTGGGAAAGTAGAAACAGTTGTTCTTGAAGCTGTCCCTGGGGAAGTTAGAGGTAAGGGTGTAGGTAAGGTAGTAGTGATCAGATGAACATCTCACTTTCGCTATCAGAGCTATGTGAGGCGATCTCCGTGAGGGAGTCTTATCTCGAAAGGAGTGATACTGCCTACCTAATGAAATTAATAACAGAGGCGAGCGGAGTGAGGGCGGTGGGCGGGCACGGTGGGAAAGAAGACCTGCCTCGCGCCATTGAAGACGAAGACGGCTTTTGGCTATCTTCTTTCTCCTCGTTCTTGGGACTTGCTTTAGGACTGTGTTCGTAATCCTCTATTCCCTCTGTTTGGATCCCACCTTGTTCTCATCGTCATCCTTGTGTTGAGGTCCCTAAAGCACGCTTCTGTAATACCTTTTCCTACTCCTGAGCTACCATGAGTTTAGAATCTTCATTGAGCTTTATCCGCTTCAATAAGGTATTACACTAGCCTTCTCAATAGCCTTACCAGCTACGTTGGAGGAGAAGTTCTAGCCGCTTCCCCTTTGCCTATCTTCCTGCTCTGCCAGTATACCTCCTTGCAAACCCCGGTTAGTCTTCGTAAGAACAAACCGTATGCTTTTGGTTTCATGCTATTGTAATGGGCAAGTTCCCTATCTTCATTGCTCAGGGCAAAACTCTGCTTTAACAATATCCTCGGGTTGCAGGATTTCTTTCTTTCTGGCCGCGTAGCCCCTTTGTTAGGAATACCAGGAAATCGTAGTTAACCGGAGTTGAATTCCGGAAAGAAAGGCAGTCCACATAGATATGTGATTCTTATCTCTCTAATATAGGGCATATCCACTTAGTCGATGCACTCGCCCTCCCCACGTGCCTGGGGATTAGTTGGGGGGATCACCAGCTCGCCTGCTCATGAGAAAAGAAACCGTAGGTTTAAGAATTCCAGAGAATAAATAGGCTAGTCCTCACCGGCAAGCAAACTCACTTGTCGAGCTAGGAGCGCACTTACTTAAGGTATCCTGCTTACTAACGAAGAGCACCGGAGGAGCAGCTCGCCAGAGACGGGGAGTACGGGCGCGGGAAGTCGCGTCTTCATGGGGTCTAGGGCAGTACCAGACCCTCTTATCCGACCCTTTTATTAATAGGATCTCGGGGCTTGGGGGCAACTTAGCCCAACTTTCCGTACAAGGAAAGAGGGCACGCTTAGTGACATACAAAAAGGCAGGACTCACATTCTGTAGTTCTCTACGAGAAGACGGAGCTCAGATGAGAAAAAGAACCTTAGGAAGAAGTCAGAAATCCTGCTACCTTTGTATAGCCCTGATCTTGAAAGATTGCCCAGGAAAGATTCCTTATTTAGAATAGCCGTGAGACTGGATTAAATGGCATTCAGAGAGGAGAGCACCTGCGATCTAATCATTAATCGAGGACGAAGAAGACTCCGGCACTCTTTCTCTCTCTTCTTAGTATCCTCTTGTGTATATGTTTTGTCTTCCATTGCTTGGTGCGTAATCTTTCTAATAATAGTGTTTAGCTGACTAGGGCCAAAACCTCTCTCTCTAAGTTCTCGATATCTTGCCGGAGGTCTTTCATTCATCTTTTAACGCTGAGATCCCTTCGGTCCCTAACCGCTACCATTTAACCAAGGCTCGGGCGTAAGCCTTATCCTTAAGAGGGCGGCTCCTTAGAGACTAATCTTGATCTGGGCGATAAGCATCCAATGGTTGTTGGCCAACGGGACCTTTGGTACCACAAGGAGATTCAATCCAGAAGGTGAATACTCACCATAAGGCCCCTTCAAAGGCCTGTATAATTAAAAGAAAGACCGGGGGATTAGTAAAAAGCCAAGGATTCTAAGGAAGAAAACAAGCATTCTCAGCTCCATACCCACAGGCTTTCCTATTGCTCTATTAAGGAGACTTGGCGATAACTGGCAAAAGTGGAGTCTGAAACATGTCCCTTTGCAGTTGAAGGGGAAGTATACGCTACCTGCAGAGTATAGAATGGGCGCTCCTCACCTGACTTCGGTAACTATAACCGGACTGGAGGTGGAAGCTGAATGCGCCTTTCTTTACTTTATAAGGGTACACTCGCACCCATGAAGCAGACCTACGAGTAAGCTGAGGACCCTAACTGCTTGGATTTGTGGGCGGAAGTAGAACTTGGCCAGTAGAGAGACTCTACCTTATAGGATCGCGCACACGGCTTAGAAAGGCTCACCTCCTATTCTTGAAGGGGCACAGCGTCAGGTGAAGCAGAAGCCTCACTTTGGAGGAGGAACCTTAGACGGTCACGGAAACTTACACGCAACCTCCTGCAAGGGACTCATAGCAATAGATTCCATCGGACCAACTCCTTAAAGATAAGGCAAGGCTTGCAGACAAGGTCTCAACCAAAGCTCGTTCCTGGTCCGCAGAAAAACTAGAAGAGGAAGTATAGCCGGCAGATCAAATGCTCACGATTGCTTTTACTAAGACAGGACAGGCAGATTCAACTGCCCAAGTCGAATTACGACCACTGAGCGATTAAAAGAAAAGTGCTTCCCTGCTTTCTCCGATTCATTCTTCTTTTGACAGCACCCACCGGTTGGCTTAGCGTGGCTATCGTCTGCATCGTTGGTAAGGCTCTCAATCATCGCTAGCCCACCAAAGTTCATAGGGCCTTGTTTCATATAATAGGCGCTCTTCACCTTATCCATTATCAGAAGAAGTTTATGACTTTGTTCATGAATAAGTAAAGTATCATGCCGTTAAGCCCTATTCTTTATAGGATAGTTAAAGAAGGTGCTACGAAAAATCCCGGGATTTAGCACCACAAAGAAATTGCATCGGCACAAAAATATGAAATGAAAAAGCTTGGCTAGGTAAGCTCTCTTCCAAAAGTCGTGGTTGCTATGCCTGTATTTGTTAAGTGCGGGAAGCTGAGTGCCCTGATGCTGTATTTGTAGCTACCCGTCTTTGAATGAAAGGCCTGCCACCTGGGAAATCGAAATCAAGAAAAGGAATCCTCCTATCCAATCATTGGTTTTATGTTCGTGTATTATACCCGTGATGCTTTTTTTTTTTTTTTTCTCAAAAGCAATGAAGAATTTTATTAAGCATAAGCAAGCAAAAAGAGAGGACAAGGAGCCTCGTACAAGGAAAGAAATCAAAACAAAAATCGGGAAATAACAAGAAAAATCCAATCACTAAGGATGGCAAATAGCAGCCTAATCCCTAGAAATCAAGAAAAATGGAACTCCTTTAAAAGGAAGAGACACAAAAGCCCAAAACGAAGCCAAATATCCCGCCTTATCCCATAGAGATTCTGCATCTGACTCCTTTCCATCAAAGATCCGTACATTTCTCTCTAGCCAAATAGACCAAAAGATAGCTAAAACAATACAAGACCACAATGTTTTGGCTCTCTTATTGCAACCAAACCGTTCAAACCTAACAAGAAGCATGTGTGTGCACTCCCTCGGAGCAACCCAGTAATCATCACACAGACCGAAAAGACGCTGCCATAATAAAAGGGCCACCAGACAATGGAGAAATAAATGATCCAGTCTTCTCATTATAAGAAATCATAATCTGTAAATTTTCACCAAGCACTTGCACTTTTAAAGTTTCATTGGCCTTGTTTCAGCTAAATTTCTTGATCTCCCAAAGATAAACTGGCAATGATCCACATCAAAATGTTTCTCCATTAAAATTAGGACACTGAACGTATTAACATGCTGCTGAGAAACCCAAACCAAACAAACCGAAACATAATTATGTTATGACCATATATGTTATATTATATGTACCCAACAGTCAATAATTTTTTTTAAATGAAGCGGGCTAACAGACGGGCTTTTCAGGTGGCCTCTCACAGGCTAACAAGTTGGGCTAACGGGCAGGACTGAGTCCAACAAGCAGGCCCAGGTCTAAGCCTAAGTACCATTCAGGTTAGTCCAACCTGCCTTGGGCTGGGTTGCAGGCCTCCAGACCGAACGATTACTCTTACTAACAACTTAAGTTTTTAGGACTAGTAGTGATCTAACAGAGAAAAATATCACAAAGACCATACACGTTATAACTCTGGGCAAAGAAAAGATGCAATAGAAGAAACGCACGACATTGTAAAAAAATCCCACAATAAACTGTGAGACATGGCTACATCGTAAATCAGACGTGGCAACATACAATATTAGAAAGCATTGGCATTATACAAAATCCATAGATAGAAAACAAACAAAAGAAATAGCACCTTCGCATGGCAAATCTTCGTAATAGCCTCAACATGAAGGTTTTGAAGTTCTTCAAGAGAAGTGATATCGAGACCAGAAATATCATCTCCCTGAAATGAAGGAATTTTTTCTTTGGAATTATTGTTCATATAGAAAGAATTTCATAACTACTTGGGCTGACTGAGGAAACTGCAGGAATTTAGAGCTAACAGGAAAATTTGAATGTTTTGGTATAATTTTGGTAAGTTCAAAAATTGTGTACATGTACATAAATACTAAATACATTTCAAACTGAAGGTTATGTAATTGGATAAAAATGCTGAAAAAGTTGAGTAAATACATATAAAAATTCCAAATATTTTTTAACAGGAGTTCATGTCATATAATCACAAAACCTGGAAGGCACATACCTTCAATCTCAAAACCAAACTTTCTAGTTCTTTGCACCTTCTCCTTTCTCTGTGGTAATTAGCTTTTAATTCTTCAAATGTACTCTTCTCATTCATGTTTCCACATTTGTTGTCTTGTTCATATGGTTTTTTGGAAACACCATTAGATGAAGAAAATCTATTTCCAACTACTGTTTGCAAATTGTTAGAAACATGATCCCCCTGTGAAGAAATGTCCTCATAATTCATGCCAGACTTCCTCATCTCTGCAACTAGCACCCACATATTGGCCAGCTCATTTTCCAGATCTTCTTCACGACACTTTGCTTCATTAAGTCTTTTCCGCAGCTCATCTGCTATTTCATCACTCTCAGATAATGCGGTTACCAAAGAAGTTTCTTTTTGGTATCTTGTGTTAAGTTCATGCTGCAACTCCCCCACCAATACATTGTCGGGTTTTCTTGAGCATGCATCAGGTTGAGCATCATTGCCACTATTTTTCTTCACATCAAATGAAGCAGATCTTTGAAAGGAGTTAGATATACAACAAGCCTCCTTTGCAGCAGCCAGATCAGCAGTCAGTTTAGCATTTTGGTAAGTAAGTTTTGTCACTTCTTCAGCCAAGTTACGCAGCTCAACTGCTGCATCTGCAGCCAGCTCTTTTGCATAGGAAGCTTCCTCAGTCAGTTTTTCGCAGTGAATTTCAAGCTTGTCCTTTTCTTCAGTCATTTTCACCTTTTCTTGGCTCAGTGTCTCTATTTCAGCAGCCTAAGTCAAAATAATGAAAAGTATACTCATCTTTAGAAGCATAACATCACAACGATGTAGTACCACAACAATTACCAAAATGATAAGATAATGCTCAGGACAGAAACAAGTAATAGACATCCATGATTCCTATATATAGGAGAGGGTGAGTGTGTAGTAGGTAATGAGTAGGTGAAGTGGAGGTGGTAGTGGTGTAGTGGGTTAGGTTTAGTGGAGTAGGTTTAAGTGGGTGAAGTAGGTGGAGAGTATGTGGATTTAGTGGGTTAGGTTTAGTGGAGTAGGTTTAAGTGGGTGAAGTAGGTGGAGAGTATGTGGATTTAGTGGGTTAGGTTTAGTGGAGTAGGTTTAAGTGGGTGAAGTAGGTGGAGGTGGTAGTGGTGTAGTGGGTTAGGTTTAGTGGAGTAGGTTTAAGTGGGTGAAGTAGGTGGAGAGTATGTGGATTTAGTGGGTTAGGTTTAGTGGAGTAGGTTTAAGTGGGTGAAGTAGGTGGAGAGTATGTGGATTTAGTGGGTTAGGTTTAGTGGAGTAGGTGAGAGTGGGTGAAGTAGGTGGAGAGTAGGTGGTGGGTTAGGTTTAGTGGAGTAGGTGAGAGTGGGTGAAGTAGGTGGAGAGTAGGTGGTGGGTTAGGTTTAGTGGAGTAGGTGAGAGTGGGTGAAGTAGGTGGAGAGTAGGTGGTGGGTTAGGTTTAGTGGAGTAGGTGAGAGTGGGTGAAGTAGGTGGAGAGTAGGTGGTGGGTTAGGTTTAGTGGAGTAGGTGATGTGGTAGTGGTGTAGTGGGTTAGGTTTAGTGGAGTAGGTGAGGTGGTAGTGGTGTAGTGGATTAGGTTTAGTGGAGTAGGTTTAAGTGGGTGAAGTAGGTGGAGAGTAGGTGGATTTTAACAATTAGAAACATTACCCAATCATGAGTTCCACGAGCCTCCTTTAGCCCATAGGTGACACCTGAGTACATTCCAGCAGCCAGTCCTGAAGTAGAAGAATGATTGTTAGCATCTTTAGGATTCATCAGTCATATCATATGCTACAAAATTATCCGACCTTGTGGAAGCACCAGCCGGTCAGCCATCTATAATCCACAATTCAAATACCAACCTAGCTATCTTCATTAGGGGGGAAAGAGAGATCCTTTCAATAGATGAGAGAGTGAAAGTCCACAAAAACTTCGAATTTTTAGAGTTTGTCGAAATGTCTAGAGAAACTGCAAAAAGGGTTGATCACATAGATTGCTGGTGTAAAATCAATAATATATCTCCCTCTGTTATTCCTTATCTTTATTTTAAAAATAAAAAATAAAAGATTCCCTGGTTTTGTTTTCTGTGCTTCAGGGTGAATTTGTAAGATCAACATCCATACCACTAAAAACAAGAATGCTAAACATGGTAGATACATTATGAAAGCTCGACATGAAGACATGGTTAAGCCTATGGTAGCCACTAGGCCAGATTTCATTCATCTAACTTCCTTTGGATCTCCAAGAAAGACTTCAAATGAGGATGAGGACAAAACAGTATCAGCTTACCCCACTGTAGAGATTCTTTTCCGGTGTTCTTCACCTGAAAGCATTGTAACAAGAAGGGTTTAGAAATAGAACTGCACAATAACACAGTAATGCTATGAACATCAACAAATATACCAACAAGACACAGCTTGCATGAGGATCCTACCACTTGATCTGGGCCCACCTAACATTGTGTCTAGTTGATATGTTTATTGGTATTTTTGTTATTATTTCAACATAAATGAGCCACCCAGCCAATACACAAAAAGCCAAATAAAATTTCCTTTCACTAACAATAAATATCAGCTGCCAATGCCATTTACCATCCATTCTAAGTATTTATTGGTTGTTCCATGACACCATGTCATGGTTCCATCAAAGACCTGATTTGCTTCTTGTTTTGTTTTTGGCTAGTTATTTAAGATCAAAATGTAACACACTAGTTTTGAATCTTACCAAGGCTTCAAGAGATTTTTTGTTGGTTTCCCCTGCAAAGCATTTAAAGGAAAATCAAATACATGGCTAAAGGAATTTCTCAAACAAACTGATTTCAGCAGCATTCCACATAAAATTAGAATAGCATGCTATGATAGTCAAAATGTATACCACCCATGTAAAATGTTTAGATGAATTTTATACTTAGTCCTCCTCCCAAAAAAAAAAGCCAAAATGAGTGGAAAACAAATGCATAGTTCATCAATCTGCCCCAACAAACACAGCTCCAGACCAAAACTGTACTTCATTCACTATATCCATCAGGTTACAAAAGCTATAAACGTTTCTGATCCATTTTCTGACATAAACACCCCAAGACAACACCAGTCCCTTCACCCGAACACAACACAACCCAACCCTCCAAAAATGAATGTTTAATTAGTGAAGTCTATATAAAGGATTTCTATATTAGCTCAACATCTGCTGCTATATATCATTTGCTAGATAGTAAGAGACATGGGGAGTTGCCATGCACATACAAATTATCAAAACTCTAGGGATAAGATAAGACGAAGAAATTCTCTACGAATGGAAGAATTTGTAGGGAGTGAAAAGAGACAATATAAATTACAAGAATACCAAATCGTGCAATGTGATTGAAGTTGGTTTCCCTTTTTCTCCTCCGATAAAATGCAACTAGGTTCAGCTCATCTATGCAGCGCATACCAACATTTCTTTGATGTTTTCATCTGTGTTGATAGTGGATATGGCAGGTTTTCAATTATGAAGTTATCAACTATCAATGAAACATTCTAGCAAGATCATGGGGAAACCCCTTACCATTACCAACAACAAGAAGCAGGCTTTAGCAAACCTAAGCTAAGCTGAAAAGAACAACTGAACCATTCCCAACAGTCTCATTTAATAGATATCTTAGTCATTGAAAAGCTAACAGATCATTTTTTTATAAAAAAAAAAAAAAAAAAAAACCCTTATATAATGTTAATAAACGCCGATCTCTCAACGAAGATCTCAGAGCAACATTGTACAGTGACACAACATTTCACAAACAGGTTATACAGTTCTGTTCTTACTACAAGAGCAAAATTCAGATATACATCGATAATGCAAATTGTAAGGTGTCGAAACAGAGCAGAAATCACGAACCTCTTAGGTCCGGGAATCGCTGCTTCTTTCCGGCCGTGATCTCCGGTGGTAGACCACCGCTATCCGCCCCTGTTCCTGATTTACTCGCAAGCATTCATACAACTTATATATATATAAACACATTCAAATCAACAAATTCATGATTCGATATACCAAAAACAAATTAACAAACACAATCGTATCATCACACCTTCAAGGGCTGTGAAATAGGCCTCGCGCGACACCGCCTGGATTGCTCCAATCTGTTTGACAAAAGAATCGTTTAGAGAGAGAGAGAGAGAGAGAGAGAGAGAGAGAGATACAAAGTTACATATATATTTATACCCCAGCGGCTTTGACGAAGCTTTCGGTGATGCGGTTGAGGAGAGGGTGGCCGAGATCGAAGAGGCCTCCCTTGTCGAAGCTGCGAAGCTCATCCAGAAGTGTTCTTGTCTCTAAATCACCGCTCATTGCTCTTATGTTTCTTCTTTGATTTCAAAACACACGACACCACCACACCATAAACGCAGCAAATTAACAGTTACAGAATGCAGAGAGAGAAAGAGGGGAGAGTGAAGAAGAAGAAGAAGAAGAAGAAGAATGTGTGTGTGGGTGTGTAGGTTTTGCGAGTGGACGCGTGGAATAGTGGCCTTACGTGTCTGAGTTTCCGGTGACGAGAATGCGAGCATCATGCCCACTTTCTAGAACTAACCCACCGCTTGTTGAATCAATTTTGAAATAATGAATAGTTTTGAGCAACGCTGTAATAAAAAATAATTATTAAATATTTTACGTAACGTAATATATATATGAGTAAAATATTATGCAAAATATTTGGCTTTTTTTTTTTTGTGTGTGGAGATCTATAGTATTTTTACAAAATATTATACTATTATGAAAAATATTTGATATATTTTTTTGAGATCTATAGCATTTTGTATAGTTTTTGTACAAAATATTAAATTAAAGCAAAGTAAAATATAGGAATAATTCGGGAGGAATTTTCACATAAATGATAAATAAGAAAATTAGTTGTAAATTATAGTTTTAACTTATTACTAATTTACTATCACTATTAATCCAACAATAAAGAATTAGAATCCTCGCTAGTTTTTTTTTTGAATCAAATCCTATATTAATAATTTAAATTCTCACTAAAAAAAATTTCAAATCAACCCAGGCAACAATTTCTAAAACTAGTCCTTAATCATCTCTCTTTTGTTTTGACATTTCTATTTTTTAGACTCCAATCAAGATCCAATTAAAAGTAGGGTTGATTCTCCAGCAATTAGAAAGCTTGGTAAAAGAAACACCAAAAATATCACATAAATAAGGCAAACAAATTATTCAAGCTTTTGTTTTTGTTATTTGATGAAAATTTTTTAACAAGCAATGTGTAATCAAGATCGGGGCTTTTTCTGATTTTTCATGATTATATATTGTATTAGTTTTATTTAGTGTAATTTTTATTAATTTTGACTTAAATTAATAGTCAGTGAATGGTTATCGATAGGCATAACGCTAGGTATCATGATAGAAATATCATGAAAAGTCTTCATGACGATTCTCCACCCTTAGATTAGTTTATAATATTTATAGTGTTTTATTGTATGTTATACAATCACCCTTAGATTAGTTTCATGAAACTTTTTATGATATTTATTTCATGATGCGTAACATTACTTAATTGTTGGGATACTTGTCTTATTCGAGGTGAAACAGCTTGTAATAAATTTGTTTATGAAGCACTTTAGTGCCAAAATAGAACCCAAAAAAACAAATTTGACGCTCGCAGGTAACCTGCTATGCACCTATTTGCTATAGTTGAAAACAGATCCTAATGCCAGGTGCATCAACAAAACAAGCAGGTCTGGATCATTAATGCTGTGTTGATTTGAGGACAAATTTGACAAGAAAAATAAAAAAAAAAATTGGTTGAATATAAATAAAATATATTTACATTTCACTTAATTTTATATACCTTTTCTCTTTCTCTTTTCAAATTTTTCAACCAAACACACCATTAGACTTATTTTATAGATTTATAACAAAAAAAGAGTACAAAAGAAACAATGACTTGATTCGGATATGGAAAATCTAAGCTTGTCAATGTATCAAATTTAATCTTAATTAGGGAGCAAATGCCCAATCGCAAAAACCGATCAGACTGCAGACCCATGCCTGTCAATGGCCTGGATTGACCACCAAATCTCACAATGTACAATGTACTATAACCTGTGTAGTTTAACATGGCAAAACTATAATCTCAATAGGCTAGATAAGAGACCTTTCGCAGTTAACAGTCTGATTGGAAATATCGCTTCAGAGAGAGTTTCAAAATGTACAGATGGATGTCTATAAATAAAATAATACTAAGAAAAATTAGCCTCAGACCCCGTCACTAAAACTTTCTCTCAGTTACAGCCCACACCCACCAAAAAACAAAAAAAAAACAAAAAAATCAAAATCAAAATCAAAAACAAAAACAAAAACAAAATGAAGGGAAACTATACGGGGCCATGTTGGTGCCCTATCTATCACATATAGTTCACATATAACTATGCAGAAGTGAGTAGAAGCGCAAGGAAAATGTAAAGGGTAAAGCAAAGAAAAATTCATGCTAATGAATGTTTTACAGCAGAAACAATAACTCGGCTCAAAGCATCAGAAAGAAGGGGAAGTTCGTGCATACAATACAAGGGTATGAATTTCTCCCTGCCATTTCAATGGCACTGTACAGTAATCCTCTCCCAGCATAGGTGGAAAGGGGCGTAAAACCAGTCATCTTCATTATGTCAGTTCCATTCTTCACTTCTTTGGGAAGAAAGCTCCTCGAGCAGCACAGCACAGGGCTGATTGCCAACTAGAGCATACACTGGCCAAATGTAAGAGATGATAACACAACTTTAAGACCCATTAACAGCCATTTCTGGTGAGGAGTTTGGCGGAATTAATGGGCTGTCCTCTCCACTTAGCTGTTTATTGTCTTGAATATTGTGCAAGCTATCAGAGCAGCTTCTAGGACCAGTGGGTTCTGTATCTTTATGGTTCTCCTCATCTAAACTAGGAGAGTTATCAGAACAGCTTATGGATTTCTTATCTGGGTGATTCACTTCATCTGAGCTATTCTTGGAGTCTGGGGAGCAAGGAACCATATGCATAGTGTTTGCTGTTTTTTTACCGGGTAGCACTGCATGACTTAGAGTTGAGCACAAGGAAGCAAATACACTATCTTTTGACTTCGAGATTTTACCTATCCGTTGCTTCTTTATTGGCCCAGGCTCCTGCTCCTCCTTCGAAGCCAACTTCCGTTTCAGCCTAAAGGACTCCATTGTTCCCTCATCTCCATCAGAAATTTCTGACTGTTTCCTTGGTGGTGGCTTGTCGTCTTCATCATCCTCGTCATCATCATAATCAACAAGTCCACCAAGTCCACCAGATCTTGAACGACAAAAGTGAAATGAACACATTACATGCATATTCTCCGAGTAATGCAAAAACACATTTAAAGGAGAGGCAATTCGAATACCTTAATGATGGGCAGCTCACAGCAGACCCATTGGATAAAACAGGTTGAGCTTGTGCACTGGGGGAACGTGACATGGATGCAGAAGCTGAATCTTCTTCATCACTGTTCAAACATCAACATTCAGTGGCTAATGGCTAAAATGCTCAAGGCAGAGACTATTACAAAATGATAAAAACACACCTGTCCTCGTTGAAGTAGTCTTCCTCTTCTTTCTCCAGGGCACGCTCATCTATTCGTTTTCTGGGTTCCAACACATCAATGGAACTTTTCGGTCCAGAGTTCTCCAGGGACTGCAAATGCACTCATCATGAAAAGATCTATAAAACAAGATGGAAAAACTAGATGAGAATTGGAGAATACCTGTTCATATTTAACTTTCAGAGAGTGAATGGCAACTAGATTTTCAAATTTAACCAACTGATCCCAGAATGAATCAACTAAATACTTGAGTAGTATCTTCAAGTTCTCCTGCATGAAATAGACTCATCAGCTGATTCTCCTTCCTGATATATCCATTTAGCAAGTAAATACATATAACGTTGAAAAAATAAAAAAAAAAAGTTGACGAGAGAACGTCACCTTCCGGATATACTCAAAAAGTTCTAGAACAGCAGAGTTCAACAAGTTATAACGATTCCCATTACAAATAAAAGCCTCCACAATTGGTTTCAAAAGGTTGTTCTTCACAATATGATGCATCAGGTGCTCATCCTGCACAATGCCATATAAAGTTACCAGCATGAGATTTCTCTCTTCCTATGCACTTCGTGTTCATTAAGTACTTATCATCGTGTTCATCTAGACAAACTATATATACCACGAAATCACAGGGATCAGTCTATGATCTTTCATCTATTAACAATCACACCTACACAACTTTGACAGATGCACATGCCATCAGATTACATTTGGGAGGAAGGGGAGAAAAACTGGCCAACAAGAAAAATGAGAGAAAAAAGCAATATTGAAAACAACTAGAACTTTATTTCCGTTGTAACCAAAAAAAGAAAACAACTAGGACATGATAAATATCAATACACACAAATATATAAAATCAATTTCCAAATAAAGAGTTCCAAAGAAAGAAAAAAAAAGAAGCTCCAAGCGAAAAATAAATCCCTTTGTAGAGATGAGCGTCAAGGAATCACGAAATAGTAATAACATCTAAAAAACTTGGCACAAGACAAGTCAACCCAACGCATAGGGATAAGAGTGAGCAAATAAGCAAACAAAAAACAGACTAGAACAACTTGAAATTGGAAAGGATGCACCTTAGTGAAATGAAATCACTAACAGTAGAAAAATCAGAAAAACTTCCAACAGTAAAAATATGCCAGGAATGGAAAATATGTTAATGATAAAGCTAGTCCTGTGTGAACCTTGCCAGTGGTAGAACAAACTTCAGTACTTGACAGCATCTACTATGCATAGGTACCCTCAGGCAGTAAGCAGATCATCACTAAACCTTTGTTGTCTCATCCAGGATAGACAACAGATGCACAATATCAAATAAACCCTACTCGAGTGTTCAATAATTGCGATACCATTTTTTACATAATCTATGGAAACTTCAAAATCCAAGTTTGAATTAGAACCAATGTCATAGATGATCCATGGTGGAGAGGTAGTGCTTTTGAACTTGAAGAATGATGTTTTTACTGTTAATTAAGCTGGTTTCACGGTTGGGCAGCTTAACAAGCCATCGACTGTTAGACCATGATGTCACAAACAGAATAGTAAAACAGGTGAAGTACAAAAAAAATTTTATAGCAAAGGAACCCCAACATTCCTGATTTAAAATCAAAATATTTTACAACAAAACTCCAAGGGTTCTTTTCCACAAGGAAACAATGGAAGAACCAGTCATTTAGGAAGAAAAGAAATTACATAAAATTGCGGAAGCGTACCAATAACAAAACAGGAAATGTGGAATTTTGCATGGATCACACAAAGAAATTTGTGTAATCAAGTTTTGGTTCAATTTTATGCTGCTTTTAAGCTCAGAAAAAAAAATAAAAAAAATAATCATTGACATATTGTATGTGGGTCAGATACTACTATTATTGGGTGGTTGGTCCTATAACAAGCCGTCATTCAGTCTAACAAAAAGTCTTAGTAGTCAAAACTCCTATTTCAGAGTCTACCAGCCTGGCTAATTAAGTATCAATATATCCTTTCAACTAGAAGATAGTTAGGCCGAGGTGCCTACCATGAAGGCGCCACATGAGCAGTAATTCTCAAGTTCCACCATGACATGTCATTCCAAGAAACATCAAGGAGGCTGTGGTTTTGTTGGGCAAACAAGGAAGTGCTATCCAGAGAGTCATTAGGACAAATGAGCCCCAAACTCTGGCTAGCATGATCTTATCCAAAAAAGACAATGAAAAGTGATGAATAGACGCGTCACTAGAAAGACTGCGCCTTTCACATTAATTGGCTGCCCTCAAACCCAGGCCTACATTGTCAAAAGTTCATATGCAGAGGACCACTTTGAAATGTTAGTACCTCCCCAACTTAGCTGATCTCAGACCCCGATCAGAAAAGTTAGCGGCTTTCTAGATTAGATAGACCATGGTCCCAAAACCAACAAGACCACATATCCTTTCCCAACTGCAACTTGATTAACACAAATTCATCATCAATCATTAGGCCAGATAGAATTTCAGCCACAAAAGTTGCTTATTTTTAATGCTCATATAGAAGTAATTTCAAATTTTCAGCTTTTGTAATTCCTGCAACAGCCTAATCTACAAATAAGATTAGAGGTTATACAGTCCAATCCCTAAGTGAGAAGAAGTCTTACTAAAGATGCACTTCCAGTCGGTCATCCCAAATTTTGTTACCCAACAGAGAAAAATGGGGGACAATATCACCCAGCAAATGAAGACCAATGGAGACTTGCACTCATGCTCTGAGGTAAATACATATAAATTTTGGAATACATCATGACAAGATTCATGTCAACCATCAATTTCTTTCAAGTATCAAAAGAAAATCACTTACATTACGGGAAATAAGAGTCCGAAAAAATCGAACAGCCGCAACTACAAGGTATTTTTCCCTTCTACGAGTCAGGAACAAAACTTTATCTACCATGTTATTAAGAAGAAAGTTGCACCTGCAAACAGGAGGAAACACGTCAATCCAAAAATCATTGTCACCACAGATCAAACTAAATGACACAGAAGCAGAGTACCAATAGATTACTTTATTCTATATTGATGGTGAAAAACACAAAAGCACAGCAGTTCACATATGTTTAAGAGTATTTCAGGCTTTGCGCGGATTTGATTTTCAATGCATCCATTGGAGCCCACAGATTTGCTGACTGATTGACCCATGCCGTTAGGAGGGCATGAAGAAGTTATAACATCAATTAATTGACCCAAGTGCTTCTCATAGAATATCTCAATGATAGTCTCTCTCTGCAAAAAAGAAAAAGAAATGATCAAACACTTCATGATATGATACCAAAAGGTGAGAAAGAAAATCAATATACAAGCAATTCTCATCCAATTTTCTTTTAGAATATTATAGTGCAAATGTAAATGAATAGAAATGAACCTTCAGAATGTAATTGAACAAAATTGCTGTCCGATTTAGACCCTATATTTTCTGGTAAAAAATCTATACACAAACTCCAAACTGATTCCAATATGTAGTACTGTCTCGAAGGAGACATCCCAAGTATTAGATGTATTTTTATTTTTTATGCATAGCTACAGGTAACAAACTATGTGATGTAGCACACTGTAGGAAAAAAGAGAAGAGAAAAGACAAAGAAGAAGACTCGGTCACTTTCAGTAAACCTACGTCAGTGGGAGATCGGATATTGTCCCCGCTTTGAATACGGAATCTTGTAGATTAAGCTCCTATTTAGGGGTGTAACTTGGGCGGGTTCAACCCGAGTAATCCGAACCCAGTCCGAATTTTTTTAGGGCTTGGACAAAATATTTTCAAATTTGGTACGAGTTTGGGCAAAAATTCAGAAGCCCGAATAAAATTTGGGCGGGCTTGGGCAAAGACGTCAAACAATCCGAGCAACCTGAAACCCGAATTATACATATATAGATATATAAAAATATTAAATATACATATAAATTATTAGGGTTTACATCATATTAAAGTAATTTAGATTATTAAATCATATTAAATATATATTATTATATATACAAATAACATAAAAACTTACTTTTTCTATTTTCACTCATAAATTGTAAAGACTACTATAACGACATCTCTTTTACATTATATAAATTATTTATTTTGATGGTATTAATGATTTTCTATAAAGAAAAAAAATATATATATATATATATAGTCAAATTTTAATAATTTAATAATGTAGCTGCAAAAACAAAACAAAAAAACTGAAATTCATTTACAATTCGAGCAACTCAGATTTAACTCAAGTCGGGCTTGGGCAGGCAACTTCAGGTTACAATTCGGGTCTGGGCAGGTCTTTGCACAACTTGGGTTGAACTTGGACAACCTCTCAATCCGACCGAACCCACCCGATTACACCCCTACAAATATTAACAAAACTCCTAACTAAAATAAGACTATGATTAAAAATAAAATAAATAAAACATTAAGGACATAAAATTATAAAATAGGAAATAAATTTTCCAAGTCAAAATTTTTTCCTGCTCGTTCAGCATCCCTATGATGCCTAGCATTGGCCAACACTAACAAAAATCTACCAAAAAAAATTTTTTTTTTGGCACAAGAAACTTAAAAATACTTTTTATTTTTTTTTGTTCAGTTTCTTTAAGAGGACTTAAAATAACATTTACTTCTCTATCAAGACTCCCTCTCATGTTGCAACACCCATGAGATGTCAGATGAAACGCAAAAGGACTTTGAATGGTGAATGAAAATATATTTCCAGTTTCTCCAATGACTGTAAATATTTCTTCATGACACTTGACAAAAAAAACAAAATTCTATGAAGCAGAAAAGTATATGATATTACAAATAATCCAATGCATTATCTTACTAAATATATAACGATATTCATTTCACCAATTATCATCATCCTAGTCTGTGTTATTTATGATTATGAAATTCCCATGTTGTTCACTTTTTATGATTATGAAATCTGTGTTACTTGACCAGAATTTTAAATATTCTTTGTGTCATTTAACCTAACAACGAATACCAAGTACAGATAGTGCTACCAATGTCATTGACCAAAACTAATGCTTGAGAAATTGTATATGGCACAGACATAGTTCAAAAGGGAAACATATATAATAATGGCATGAAAGTTTAACTACAACCTATCATATATTAGACGACAATAAAAGATATTTCAAGACCTATGGACTACATTTGGCAATCTACAGTCATTTAAAAAAAAATAAAAGTGGAATAACGAACGAGAATAATCATGGCACCTGTGTTCCTGATGTATAAGAATCCAAAAGGCTTCGAAGAATTTCAAGAAATTGGCAATGCATGTCATCCCCAAAATCTGTTATCATACCTTTAACCTACAAATACACAACCACATAGTAATTATTTCTTTCAGCAAAGAGAGTAGTAGGAGAAAAAAGTAGAACCAAAAAGAAGAAGAAAAGAAAAAGTGAAAAAATAATACATGTCTACCAATTTAAAATAAGAGAAGAGGATACTCAAATTGAAATTGCAAGGATAAACAAAGAAGCAACTACAATAGTAATCTAAGAAGCACGGACACTTCTAAGAAGGTGACGTATTCGTGTCGTATCCGTGTCGGACACCGATACTCTTTGGACACTCTCAGGACACGTGTCCGACACTCTTCAAAACGTGTCCTATTTTTTAAATTTTTTTAAAGACTTAAACACTCTTTGGACACTTGAAGGACATACGTGTCCATCGCTTAAATACAAGTGTCTAACGATTAGACATATGTGAAATTAATTATAAGTTTGAACAAAACAACTTAAGATACAATAATAAAACAAAAACTATATAAATTTATAGGAATTAGTATCATATTGTATTTTTTATTATCTTTTTAATGATATATTCATATATATAACATATAATAAATATATAAAATTACATATTTCATGCGTGTCCCTCACGTGTCGTGTCCTACATTTTTTGAAAATTAACGTGTCAGCGTGTCCGTGACGTACTCGTGTCGTGTCACGTGTCCGTGTCCATGCTTCTTAGATAGTAATAATGACCACATAATAAACAATAGCAACAAAGGGATTACCAAATCCTGAAGCGCTACATAATGTAATAATATAGAAAGGGACAACTTCCCTTGTTATGGCACATTAGGCGCGTCTCAACTCTCAACAAATTTTAAAAAAAAAGGAAAAAAAAAAAGCCCTAATTTCTTAAAATTTGCAGGCCCTATAGATGTCCTGGGATCTGATGTCTCACAGAATATAATGTATGCTTGTCCTAATAACTAGCATGAAGAACGCTTGACAGACCACATGTTGAAAAGCAATTTAGACTTTGGACAATAATGAAACACAAAACATCTTCTCCACACGTGGGAGTAAGTATGTATCAATGCTTTAATTTTTAAAATATTACATATATCGTATCTTGATTTCTTATCATCAACATAAAAGAACATACACTTGTAACTCTTAGGGTAGCTCCTATCTTAAAGTCCCAAGGAAGATGTAACTTTAATAAAGCATGAATAAAGGGAATCGAGGGGGGTGAAAAACGTACATACCAGAAGTCCAAACAGAAGAATCCCCTCTTGCCGAGCGAAATAAGAACGCAAAAGATTTGGATCCTGGTTAAGGAAGAGAATAAGGATGTCTGTCCTGCACACATCAAAATGACTAATCATTCGGACAAATATCATTGAGCAAAAATAAATAAATGCAAAGAAGAAAAAGAAAAAGAAAAAAAAAAAAGAATACTAAAGCATGAGATAGCCAAAATCATTACCCAATTAATACAAGCTTTTTATCTTGACTCTGCAAAACCTCAGCCATGATGTCAAATATCCCTTCATTAACTAAGTCTCTACAGTCATTCAAAAATTTTGATATGAATTGATGCATATAAGATTTCAAATACGTGAACGCATAATTAAAGATGATGGTATCAAAGATAATATACATATATTGGAGTTTCAATTTTGAAAGTTTTAAGCAAAATAAAGCTCATCGTGACCAAAATATGACTTCTGTGATGCATACCTAAATAACCGTTGTTGTTGGACCATCTGCAAGCTTTTGCTTAGACTACAAAACTCATGCAAGAAAAGTACCTATTTCCAAAAGCAAGCAAGTTCAATTCACGACAAGATGTATCATAAGGAAGTTAAGAGTCACAATCTGCCCAAGGATGACAGTTAAATGTATAAAACAGCAGCGTATGCAACTATTTTGCTAGAACAACATGGTTTACAAATATGATTTAGACTTCCTCAAAATCATTACTTTGTTAACAAAAATTTCTTCATTTTTTCTTGACTAAACAGCACATGCTGATTTATGAATTATATGTAACACAAAAGTAAATATTACCTTTTAGCTCTTTCATGTAAGTATGCCAGCACATATATTCTAATAGCGATCAAGAAAAACTTGACCGATTCTCAAATGACAAACTGTATGACACACCTATTACTCTAATTATTTGACACCAGATAATCTGAAGGGAAAATGTCCAGACTAGAGCAAGAAAAATGATGCCGTCATTGCAACCTACCATGTAAATATAAAATTGTATAGTTTCATAATAACCGGAGGGAAATCTTATTTCATGCTTGTTGAAGCACTTATTCTTCGAGGGGACTAGACATACCACTACATATTTAAAGCATTTATAGTTCAGCTCTTTGTTCTATTGATTGGATGGAGCCCAATGCCACATCTATTGATTCTTTACTAGAGCTTTGGGTATCATGATTCTTTTTTTTATTGGCCTTCTGTTGTGTACTCTATGCACATACAAGTTGCTCACATCCTCTTTGGTGCATTTTAATGAACTACTTCATTCATATATTAACAAATGACTCTCAGGAGAATTGAGTTCTCAAAATCAAATGAGACAATTATTTGAGAATAAAATATCTACACTTAGGAAACAATACAAAGAAAGAATGTACATCATACAAACAAAGCATGAACATTTGTCATGCTTATTAAATAAAAAAATAAGAAAAATTAAAATTAAAAAACTTGTTTTTTGTCTTGCATACTGGGATATAACCAAATGCAAGATAACCTAGTGAATAATAATGGAATTTCAGCCTAACAAATAACCAGGAACTCAATAAGAGGAAACAAACACAGTAAATGTACACCCAGTTTAGTCCCCCATTGGATGCAGTCTGGGAAGGAACAAAACACAGTAAAGGACTTAATTAACAATGCTCAAAAAGAACAGAAGAAAAGGTGCAAACCAATCAACGTTCCATATGCTGGAACCTGCATCGCACGTACAGTGGCAAAAAGTCAAGGAAAGACATGAAGTTATTCAGCAATTACCAAATTTTTCTTTGACTCCGCAGAAGTGGTAGACAACCTCAACTTTGCAAACAATTCCTGAAAAAAGGTGCTGTCATCTTTTAATAAAGAAACAACCTGCAAAGAAATAACACAATCAGGAATGAGAGAACCGCCAAAGACACTGTATTAAAATTTGAATTTAAAAATCTTACAGTGGCATTATTTGAATGGATTATGGAATTGAGATTTGCAATAATTGCGTCATCCAGCACTCTAGGCAAAATGGCATCCTAAGAAAGATAAAACAAGATAAGATATATATTCCAGCTGGAAGCAAGAAATAAACAACATGAGCATTGAAGATTTTTGCCTTCAAATAGCCAATTCTATATGTTTGGTGTATCTTCGACAGGACCAGTAGACTTTTAATCGGTATAGCCTGCAAATCCAACAACAGACAGCAAACAAATAAGATGCCAGATACACCAAAGCTTGATACCAAAAGGGCGCACTCAACTTCAAAAAAGCACAAGGGGAGATGAAGGAAAAAATATAAAGGAACCATATGTACCTCCTTAAACACCACATGCTCTTTCAGAAAATTGCGATGGTGTTGTACATGAGGTATATCTGGATCATCTGCAGGCCAATTTTAAGCAATTCATCAACAACCAACAGAGCAACAAATCACAGAGAACGACGGACCAAAATATAAACCACATGCAAGTGTTACAGCAAATACACCCATGACATAACTGACCCTGTGTTTATCATCAACCAAGAGGTGTTTGGACGACAGTAAGACATAGAAGATTGTTAAATAGATGCATTTTCAACTAAAAAAACCACAAACAAACAAGGAGAGTGTAATTGAGGAATCACAAAACACATTCACATGCAAGTATTTCATTGAACACACAGGTATAAATGTCAATAAATCATTACTGCCAGAAAAGAGGAGCCACAAATAAGTGGCAAATAACAATGAAGAAGATGACTGAAATACCAGCATGTTGTAAACACTAAAAGCTGATAACCTATGAAATCAACAATCCATGACAAAACAGCATAACAAAGTCTAACATAAAAGAAGTTAACGGAAGTTATGCATATTGCAACAATTTTCTGCCAGGCAACTTGCAGCTTGGCATAAAGCAAAAGAGAACTTGGGCAGTCAATCACATCAAGGTAAGACAGCAATTACAACATTGACAACAATATGTATCAAGGTAAGACAATTGCAGCCAAAACCACAAACAAGAGTCTTCTGAATGTTGATTATTATAATTAATAACCAGCACATGAAAGAAGCCAAAATGCATAGTCATCTAAAGCAATAGCACTAGGAACTTACACACAGTAAAGACATTGACGAAACCACAAAAGGTAACTAAGAGTATCTTTCCAACCAACAGCAAGACAACTTACATTCAAGAGACCCAATAATATCCATGATCAATTCATCCCCAAATATTTTCTCAAAGATCTGAGGACTATTGAGAAAAACTGCAGGTCAACATACAAATGCATTAGTATGAAGGAAAAAGACGGGCAAATGAGTAACATATATGAAGACAAGATAAAAAAAAATCAATAAAAATATAGAACATTATTATCACAATAACAAAAAGAAACTAAAGTAAAATGTGGTACTAACTGATCCCTCTGACAATTTTGAATATCATGTGAAGGCCATCAATATTTTTCAAGTCTTCACAGATTCCAAACAGGTCCATCAGCTTCCGGAAAAAATCTTGCTGCGAAGAAAATAAATTTCCTCTTCAGAAAAATCTAACAAGAGTAATCGAAGTTATAAGCCAAGTAGAAAAGGAACATAGGATTTTGTCGCCAGGTATTTGACCTCTTCAAGACCCCAAAATATTAAACTTACAAAAATAAACCTCATACAAAATTACAATAACAAATCAGGCCATCAGTTTTATTTTTCAATTTCTTTTCATGTATAACCTATCACATCAACAATACAAAAATCACAAAAAAGATGTACAAGACTTACATCATTTAATATGAGTTCTGCTAGACGAATCTGATCAGCGATACCACTCCCAACCACAGTCTGCAAGACCAAAGGTGATGAAATTGTGTTAACTATTACATGTACACACATGAATATTTAATATGCATATACACACCAGAAATTCAAAAACTAAAAATGACAATCAATTTTGCCATAATGAGGAAAAAGAGATGAGCGGGGGGGAAAAGTGAATCACAAAATTGAATAAAAACATGATTTTTTTTAGTGCACATAGAGTCTTTCCCTAATTTACCTCCAATAACATTTCAGCGTTCATTTTAATTTAATTTTAACTAAAACAAGAGTCAATTAACTTGTTTTCACATAACATCTTAGAACTAACAATGACATACACAACACAGCACGCCAAGATGAAAATTTTAAAAAATATATAGGATACAACATGTGGGAACACGCGCAAAATATATATTTTTATATATTTATTTAGACGTTATAATATAAGTGAGTATATGTTATACAAAGACAATAACAAAATGCAATGTAACACTAATTCTAAAATCTAAAGAAGGAGAATGTATAAAATTACATGTAAAAATAATGTAAATAGAAAGAGAAGAGAATAAATTGCTATGTATTTATTATTGCTTGATGTAATGTTATATAATTACAATGATTCATGATTCCTAACATAAAGAAGGTGAGTGGTAGTAGGTAAGAGTAGGTGAATGGAGGTGTAGTGGTGTAGTGGGTTGGTTTAGTGGAGTAGGTAAGTGGTAGTGGTGTAGTGGGTTAGGTTTAGTGGGTGAAGTAGGTGGAGAGTAGGTGGATTTTAACAACGCCCCCGAAACAACTCAAGGATAGGAACTAACCAACTTGAGTTTGGAGAGAGTAACAAAATAAGAAAATACATAAAATAAAAGAGGATAGGTGAACTGTATGGTCGTGTCAGACCATTGGTGAAGACACTGGATTGGTGGTCATAACGTTGTAGAGACACTGTAGGGGGTGTCATAACGTTGTAGAGGACACTGTATGGTGTGTCAGAACGGTATAGAGGACACTGGATGGCGGTGTCAGACCGATGTAGAAGACAGTTTATGGGTTCATGTCGGACCGTTGTGGACTAAGAAGCACGGACACGGACACCGACACGACACGGACACGCAAACAACGCAAAATTTTCAAAAAATAGGGGACACGACACGCCGGGGACACTTAATATAAATAATTAATTTTATTTATTATATGTCATAAAATTATTAAAAAAAAATCAAATAAAGGTAAATAAATATACAAAATAACACTATTAAATTATAAAAAAATAAACATTTAAAATATCAACCTAAGTAGAGGAAACTATTACAACATCTACCACGCCTCCATCTTCTCCTTCATCTGTAAATAGGACCGCTTCCATAGCCGGTTCATCAATTGAGAGGTTAGCTATCCAAGCATTCCAATATCCAAGTGAGTCAGTTATCTCCGCCAATATCCCACATTTTTGTCTCTCCTTGCAAGTATGGGAGCTCCTCCTTGATAAAAGAACGAAGATTGCATGATGAACACCAATCCTCCGCGCGTTGAGGACAATCTTGTTCCTTCTCACTGAGTGAATAAAGAGTAAGTACTCCAATTTCTCTCACAACAAGATGAAGAGGCAGGTTGCACAAGCAATCTCAAAGCTAGTTTTTGAAGAGATGGTGCATATGCACCATATGCACACCACCAAGTATAAGGATCCATGTGCCCCTTATAGAATGGAATCATTACTCTGAGAATGCTTCAACATAACCCAAAATTTTCCAAACTCAGTTATACCTTGGTTCGCTCCGTGATATCTTCAAAATACCTCTTAAAAACTTGTTCCTCTCACGTGTCACCTCTTCATCCCTATGTGGAGGAACTCTATTTGTGATCCTCATGGAGCCACTCATCACTATATAATACCTACAATCAAAAATAGGAAAAATTAATTTCAAGAAAAGACTAGATAAGTCCATTAAAATGAAAGATGTAAAACAAATTTAAATGTGGTACTTACTTTGGATTCAATGAATGTGCCATACAATGGAGAGAAGTATGTTTTTATTCCAACGACCACGAGAATTTGATGCACCACATTGTAAAATGTAGAATTCCTCATCTATTCTTTCCTTCATGCTATAAATTGACATCTTCACTTTCTCTATCATTGAGTCCCACATATCATATACTAAGTGAAGGCAAGGTTTTGTCCGTATCACAAGCCCTAACATGTCATATATAGGACCCGTGAAGGAAAGAATATAATCAATGTAATCCCACCACCCATCATCCAAATCTTTCTTTCACAAATTTTGCCTTCCCAATCATCCTCTCTATAGCAATTCCACTTGTCACTAATTACCATTGCTTGAAGACACGTTTTTTATAAGCTTTAACCTCTTGAGCATAACAATTGTAGAGGCAAATCGTGTTTCGCAACCGAAAGACTCTCAATGACACAAAATTCATTGTACAATCCAATCGCATTGAGTGATTAGAGATAAAATTCTTAATCATCAAACCATCTCCGCGCATATCAGTAATCCACTACATTCTTCATATGTGATTTCATTCCTCTCAATTTCTTTGCGGCAAAAATATTTTTCAAAGCTAGATTTAATGTGTGCACCACACAAGGATCCATAGAATATGAGGGAATTGAGCTTCAATGAGTTTCCGGCTGCCTTACCAATTAGGAGCATTATCCGTGATGACTGAACCACATTACTTGGCCCAACCTCATTTATCACTTCTTTCATCAAATTTGCAATGAAATATCTGTCTTAGTTTCTCCAGAACAATCAACTGCTTTAATGAACATAGGCCCACTTTCACTCGAGCTGCAGTAAAATTAATCAAAGGCCTCCTTTGAGAATCACTCCAACCCATGCACTAACAATGCTCACCCCTTTTCCTTCCATGTGCCCTAATGGTGCAACAATTTATAATTGTTGCCCTCTCTTTTTGAGAAATGTGGTTCGTAACAAATTAAACCGGAGCAAATATCCAGGAATATTATGATTGCCGCAATGTGTAAAGCTAACATAGTAAGGATTTCTTGCAAGATTAAAGGTACCCCCCCCGAGTTAGAACATCCAAGCAATTTCAAAATGCAATGCTCCCCTCTATCCTCAAGTGAATGCTTTCTCAATAGCACTTCCACTCCCACTCCCACTACCCAGGCGCACTCCACTCCCACTCCCACTCCATCTCACATGTCTCTCTTTCTTTGATTCATAAGCATAACTACTACCCACTGATACAGTGGAAGAGGCAATGGTAACATTTTTGGGAAGAGCATTTTAATTCTCACTCAGCAGCATCATTCTCATTTTGTAGTTTGTGAGTTTTTGACTTGTCACTTCTTACAAGCACCAATTCCCTTTCCTGGGAGTTTAACAAGTGTGCCCTACTCTTGTATATGAACCTTTGAAAGTATTATTACAAAATTTTACTGTGTAATTGGTAATTCCTCCCCTTCCCCGAGGTTTTGCTAATTTAGTTATATACTTCACAATGGTTTATCTCATCAAAATCATCATCAGGTATATCATTAGAACACTACCCGTAGCCATTGTCTAGAATTAATAATTGGTCCCTATAATAAAATTAATAAACATACATTATTAAATATATCCTCAAATAATAGAAAAGAAAAAATAAAATCAGAATATAAAAAAATAAAGAAAAAAAGTAAAATAAAAACAAAAAATCAGAGAATAAAGAAAAAGAAAAGAAAAATAAATTAATAAACAAAAAAAATAAAAAGAAAAAAAAAATAAAATCAGAATAAATCAAAATAAAGGAAAAGGAAAAAAAAAATGAATAAAAAAAAGAGAGTCTCGGCTAGAACAGGAGAGGGAAGAGAAGCTACTGAAGAGAGAGAAAGAAGAGGCTGAGACAGAGAGAGAGAGGGTATCGAAGAGAGAGGTGCGATCGAAGAAGATCGAAAGTCGTACTGGCAATGACTGAAGATCGAAGATCGGCGACTGAAGACAGACGGCCGACAGGAACCGAGAGACGACAGAGTGAGCAACGACCGACGTGCGGCAACGACGGAGAAGACGACGTACGACGAAGTCAGGTCTTCTTCCTTTCTCTCTTTCCTCAGCTGTTTATCTCTATCCATAGTCGATCGAAAGAGATAGGGCTAAACAGATTAGGGCAAATTGATCTGCTTTTGGTATTTTCAATTGACCCAAATTTTTTATTAAACTGTGAAATACCCCGCGCGTGTCCCAACGTGTCAATAACGTGTCCAAAACGTGTCAGATGTAAAAAAATTAAAAAAAAAATGGACACTCTCCCATGCGTGTCGACACTGTCCACTGAGTCCGAGCGCGTGTCGTGTCCGACACTGTGGTCTGACACTGGTAGGAGCCGGAGAGGTGTCCGTGCTTCATAGGTAGCAGATAAGTGGTGAAAGTTGTTGTGACAGTTTACGGAGTCTTGCTGACCCTTGTAGAAACAACGGAATCAATGTCGGGACAGTTTACAGAGGTCTTGTCGGACATAAGGGCCTATCCGGATATCAATGTTCGGGACAGTTTACATAGTCTTGTCCGACCATAAAGAACTGTAACCGGAATCAATGTCGGACAGTTTACAGAGTCTTGTCGGACCCATGAAGGGCTAACGGAATCAATGTCGGACCAGTTTACAGAGTTTGTCGGACCCTAAAGTCGCACCCAAAATGGTGTGCCAATCCAAAAGCGTCATCAAAGCGTGCCCAATCTAAAAGATGTGCCATCAAAGGCCCGTGCCAGGTCAAAAGGCGCGCCCACTCATCAAAAGACGTGCCCGACAGACAGCGTCGAGCCATCAAGGCGCTGACACGGCGATGCACGTGATTGACAGAGCGCGTCGTCGTCGTCCCTCTGTCTTTATAAACCAAGCGAAGTCTGAGGCTTGAAGCATAAAACCAGTTGAAACCTCTCGTCTCTGTAACATTCTGTAACACCCTTCTCTGAAACACTGAGCAACCAAAACTATGGCTTCTCTTTCCGTTCAGCTACCCAGAACATAGCCTCTTCTTCCGTGGTCTGCTCACTCTCTTTCCGCCTCAACGCAGTCAAAAGAGAGATAACTGGTGCGGTGGCTTGGAACTCACCAACGCCCCGGAGTTTTGCTCCGTTGAACTTTCCGATGCGTCGGTGGAGCAAAGAATGGCAGTGCAGTCAGATGTGGAGCAATCAGTATCCTTGAAGTCATGTGTGAAACCATGACTGCGGTTACAAACTTGTCGAACCGGCTGCAGAGTAGGGCAAATGAGGTGCAGCAGTTAAACTCCAGCTTGCTCTCCAACGCATGTATAAGGAGCGGAGCAGAGATAAGTGTCTAAAGGCGGAAAAACAGAGGAGCTGAAGCGGAAGGCCCCGTGATGTTCCGTTTTGGAGGTCCGCCATATGCTGCAGTGGAGGAGCAGGGTGGAGTGATCATGCCCCAGTGGAGTGGGAAAACACGGAGGCAACACCGTCAAGGCCGCCCAGGACGGAGGCAAGAAGAAAAGACCGGCGGAATAGGCGAAAAAGTGAGATCGGTGGGTGGCCGTCTGCAGAAAAGAAAACAAATCTTGTGTTGTTGTTGTTGTTTTTTTTTTTTTTTTTTTTTTTGTGTGTAAAAATGGTGATCGGGGTGAGCCCAACATAAATAAAATAAGGAAGGTTGGTGTGCAAATTTGTATTTTTTTTTTTTTTTTAAATATATTATATATTTCTATATATTCTAGTGGGATGAATGATGAGTTGTATGAAACGATGGGAACAAGTCCATGTGGGTTAGGGAATGGCGATGAAATGTGTTTGTGGGGGTGGAAAGTAAAAGTGAGAGAGAGACACCTGTAACAATATTAACATAGGTTTACCGCACATTCTTTTCTGAAGATATGCATTCCGCTCAAACCACTAAAATAATACAAATCTCTCATCACCTCACGTTGATAAGAAGACAAATTTGCAGCTGTAACACTGCCAACGTGGTGAACAGTTGTTGATAAAAGTCCTTTGGTGAAGTGATGGCGAATCATCCTCATCTTGAGCCCTTCCATACACCAACTTTGGTACCGTTACCTTGGAAGGGGCTTGTGCATTGGCCTTAACCTGCAAACCCCAGTGCAGCAGATTTTGATTTAATCCCTCGTGCATCCACATTTTGCTGGAGGTCCTCCAAGCTTGCTGGATGTCTTGGGCACCAGAATCGGGTGGAGGAGATGCAACTGGAAAAAAATGCAGAAGTAGCGGCGGTAGCAACCATTATGAAAAATCTATCACCAAGCTGAGAAAATCTGGAGACACGGTAGAAAACGTAGAAATGGATGTTTTGTGGCAAGATTCGAAAGCTGTCTGAGTTGCGAAAAGCAGTTGATATTGCGTGATTAGGAGGTCGTTTGGTGGAGAACGGTGAATCAGAGACGCGTCTGCGAACAGTGTGCATCTCCGACTTCAAAGGTGACAACGAGCCTGAGGTGGCTCAGAAATGCCCTAAGTTAGGCATGACTCTGTGCGTGGAAGGAGGAAGAGTATGGAAGCAGTTGTGCCTTCACCCCTTGCTTTGCCGCCGGAGTAGTCAGAATCCGGCGGATTTGCACTTTCGGCGTTTACGACGGCCACGGTTTGCTCACATGTTGGCGAATGAAGTGCAAGATCGATTGCCGAGATATGAGAGACGAGCTCGAAACCACAAGAAGATCGTGGAAGAAAAATGATGGAGCGAAGTTTCTCTTCTTGCAGATTACGGCTGTGGAGAGTTGGAAGGTATGTGTAAGAAATTCCAGCGGGCAGGCAAAGGCAAAGGTGTGTCGGCCGGCTGCCGCCGGTGAGAAGAAATACAGGCTTAAATCTTATCGCTCTGTACCATGTAAAAAATAATGTATAGAGAAAGAGAGAGAATAATATGTATGTATTATTATGCTTGATGTAATGTTATATAAATTCACTGATTCCATGATCCTGATAATAAGAAGAGGGTGAGTGTGTAGTAGGTAAGGAGTAGGTGAAGTGGAGGTGGTAGTGGTGTGTTAGGTTTAGTGGAGTAGGTGAGGTGGTAGTGGTGTAGTGGGTTAGGTTTAGTGGGTGAAGTAGGTGGAGAGTAGGTGGATTTTAACATTACATCATTTTTCTTTTATTATTAGATTTCCAGTTATTTTATTCAAAGTTGTAATGTATTTCGTGTATGTTTAAATAATGTTCATGTGTTCCTCAAGGGTCTAAAACATGAATCACAAGCCTCTGATAGTGTTATATTCACTTCAGTGATCTCAGTTATACCACAGTTATCGGATACGCTGCCCAAGTAGGAATCTGAAAAACTTCAGTTAACTACGAAAACAAACTTTTTAATAATCAGCAGGCTTTTAACCATATATGTTTAATGTTAATCACTCAATCCAGCAGCATAAAAATCAACATTAAAAATATAATAACCAAAAATTGAAAACAAGGAATCAGTTTCAACCTTTAGTATTATAGGAAGTGTAGACAGCTCAACTGCAGGCAACTCTCTCAACTCACTATTGACGCTATGATAAGTCTCATCTGCAGAAGTAGCAACAAAAATCAACCATCCACAGCACCATGAATAATACATGCATGTCAAAAGATGCAAACCAAAATCTTCAAATAGTTGATCAAAGATCTGAAGAAAAATATCACTTGCCAGATTGACTACAGCAACGAACCTTTCTTTTTGTGCATGAATATTTAAAATGCGAACATACAAAACTGTAGAACAAAGGCCCCATATGGAGTTGTTGAACTTATCTGAAGGTGTTTTAAGTAATGGTGCTTAAGAAATGCCGAAATAGAGACGTCTATGGAATTATCTCTTTTACTTGAAACCAAGTTTGGAAGTTCGGATAATTCAATAAGTATGAGTGGGACTCCCTAATAAGCACATAACTCCCTTATGCCCTACATGTGCTTCACACTTGTTAACTAAACGGAACACATATGTGGTTATTTTCAAAAGATAGGGGTAATTAGCACAAAGGGTAAACCACAAGGGGATAAAGTGAATTTTGCCCAATTTAGATTATCGATCATCTAAACAACTCAAATTGCACTGCTAGACCACCCCAACACAACCAACCTAATAGTTAGCCAAGTTCTAACTTTACAAAACTTCTTTTAGAGTGGTTCATAGCAAACACTTACTGTTAAGAGTACTAAACTGCAGATTTCTTTGCACGTTACAAATGTGATCCCTACATAAAAGAAGTGTGTTATTAGATAATAAAGAAAGAGGAAGAACTTATAAATTTACAAAGCAATAGAAGAAATTGATTAGAAAGATATTACCATATGTAAGAGCACCCTGTAGTCTCCTGAAAGCTAAGAGCTAATTCGGTCGAATACTCTGGATCTCTCCAAGAGATTATTGTTTCTGGAAAATAAAATAAAATAACCTACAATAAGCATCTACAGAAAAAGTTAATTACAAGAATAACTTGCATAAACAGAAAGAATACCATCTTGCTTTCGATAAATATCATCTGAACTGATGCGGTGCAAAAGTAATGTTTCATTGTCTTCTTCATCAATGACAAACAAACTCAGTTCTTCTGCTCTCTGTGCCATGACATTTGAGTTCAATCAAAATACCAGTCAATTTTTTAGAAATCATTTTGACAAAGAACCATTGACCATAAATTAAGTACTGTAAGGAAAACTAAGCGCCAGGTCATGAAAACTATCACACCTCCATATAATCGACAGTAACATGCCCCGTTCCTTGGTCATCCCACTTCCCATCATCATTTAAGCGGTAGACCTTAACACGCTGAAATTTCATTGAAAATAAAAAATAAAATGATAAGCACTCTAATCGTAGCATAATTCTCACTTAATGCACCTAAAAGAAACCCACCACTAAAGAATGATACACAGCGATCAAATGCACCTATGCATGAAGAACAGACATTGATAGTGTATGCATTGACTAAAAGAACTTTTAGAAAAAGCTTCTTAAAAGATGACTCCTAAGCATAGAGAAAACATGATTCTTTCAATCATTGAACTGCATATTGGTCATTTTTGTGTTGGGTCGGGAATTTCTTTCCAGAGATTGTGTGTAATATTTTTTTAGCTTAGTCGAGTCTCTTGAGCAATTATGTAATTAGGAGTTGGAGATTGAAGTTGATCACTCAAACTATGAATGGAAAGAAAGGACAGACTCTAGGTAAAAGATAAAACTCATACATTTCATTTGCATCATTTAGTGGGCTTTTATCTTAATGAGTTTTGTTGGGTTTGATATAAATTAAGTTCTCAGAAAATTAAGTTTTGGACTATAGGCTAAACTAACTAATTTACTTATTAACCTTTAGTACCCTTAGACTTGGTTTTATTTACCTATGTGTTGGTTTTCATGATCTATGCATCAGTGTATTATTCATTCAAATTCATGGTTTTATCATTTAAATGCATGATCCTTAGTTCGTTGGAATGCACGATGCTTCGCTTGAACGCATAAAGTTCTATCTTGAATGTAGCTTTAAGCAGTAGCTTGTCCATTCCAACATGGACATAGCTCATTCAGACTTGTGTGTTTTTACATGATTCCTTGTTCCCTAACCTTCAGGTTTTCCTTATCTAAATAGAAAAACATCAACTTCATTGTTTGGATTACCCTTTTGTTTCTAAATCTTTATAGAAGTTTATGTGGAGTCCATAATGGCATTATCCATCAAAATGAAGTCACCAACAGCCTTAGTAGTCAAAGAGTCAGGTTTCCTACTTTAGGAATCTTACACATAATAGAGGTAAGAAAATTATAGCAACTACACATCTACATGTATACTCTTTCTATTCAATGAAGTTGACAATAGATAATAGGAAATTCATCCACACTCATTACAAATAACCTTAGGTGGCAAGGAACTTTTGGTGAGATTCTTGGTTTTCAAGGTCCAATTCATAGTAACGTAGGACAGCTTTAGAAAACTTAGAATCATGCCACCTAGAAATGGTGCTATGATGATCTAGGACCATGAAAGGTTTGTTGGTTCAGGGGTTTAACAGGTAGAAGAGACGTTATAGGCTTCTGGAATTGTAAAGGGTCGGATTTTGATTAGTGTAGAAAGTGATAAGTTGTTGAAGTTGCAACCGATCGGTTGCTGAAAGTGCGAAACTTTATGGGGTTTTGGGTTTAGACCATAGGTCAAAAGGAAGACAAAATGTTAGAACCTTCTACAATTTGCTAAGAATACAATTTGAAAAGAATAATATGAAAATTCCACCTTGACTTCCTTAAATTACTTCAAACACTTCATGAAAGTTCAAAACTTCTCACGAAGTCTCAAATTTAACTCCTTTAAATAGAGAGATCCACAGCATAGTCATAGGTGGCAAGTCTTCTCCCAACTCTACCAAGATTAAGACTGCAAATTTTTTTTCTTTTCTTTTCTTTTCTTTTATTTTTTTCAAGTATGCCCAGTTTGGTTTCCATTAAGAGGGGTCTAGGATGAGTAAATTGAGTACAAACTTAACCTTTGACATTATTTGCACATGGTTGCCCTCATATTCGAACCCACAACCTCAAAGTTAATAGACCACACATCAAAGACCTAAATATATAACTTGAGAAATGATGTGACCTATGAAACCTTACTGCAAATCTACAATCAATGTGTAATGAATCAAGAATTTACCAACACACCCTTAACCTAAAAGACCAAACAAAACATTAAATGAACTTCTGTTGTCATCATTTTAACCTAAAAAAACATAAAAATAAGCTTAAAATTGAACCTAAACTTCATAAACAATGTCCAAAACGTGCTTTAATGCAAAATTCCATTTATATTCTTTTCTAATTTTCTTGCTCTGCATTATACAACCTCCAAAATAGCCCTCATTTTATGAGCAAAAACCCTGTGTAACCAATTAATAATCTTTCCACTATCTATTAGCGTCTTGATTCATTGCCAAGATCACAAAAAAATTGTTTTCCAATTTTCTGAGCAACTAGTTTCTTAAGTATCCTGCGACCTTGAACTTTAGAAACCAAGTCAACTTCGGCCCTTTTCCATCTCCAAGGTCTATAACCTTCCTTATAATTATTAAAAGGTAAACCTATTATACTTCCACAACATTCTGAAATAGTCATAAGAATAGTAGAGAAGTCCCTACCCCCAAAAAATAACACCACACGCAAACAGAGAGACAAAAGTAACTATGGCAGGTATGAAATCTAAGGATATCATCATAGAAAAATCACCATGCGATGATAATAAAGTATTACATAAAGGTATCTTACAATAGTAATCATTAGACTCAAAAAATAGTAATCATTAGATTCAAGGATGTAATAAGTAAAAATAAATTAAGATAGAAAGGCTCCAAAACGATGCTACCTAGAAGGCTGGAACACGGGTTGTTCCGATCTAAGAAACAGGTGTGTAAAATTGGTACTCACATGCTCTAAAATATGATACAAGGATAGGATTGGATAGATCACATTACTAGAATTTAAGATACTTTTAAATGTAAGAACACTTTTCTTTTAACAATTAGACATCCGATAAAAATATAGACTACAATACTTCAAATTAAGCATGTACAACACATATCTAGGAGCACTATGATCCATTTTTTATATTTTGTTGTGCCAAAACCCCACTATTTCTAAATTTTAATTCAACATATTTATTTTTTTGCTCCCAAGTAAAACTTTAAGAAAATAAATAGGAAAAAGAATGAGATCACTTTGGATCGTAAAAATCACCATTTTGCAATGAAGGTGTACCATGTTTCGGGACGTACGTTCCACGATGTAACTCGCTAAGGTACTAGTGTTTTTTTTTTTTAACACTGCTCCAAACAGTGATTATATATTATTGAGAGTACTAATCACTTTGCTTAGTTCCTCTTTTCCAAAAACACTTTTCAGAAAATTCTACTTTCTTGTTTTCAGTGTTTTTTTGTTTTTACTGAATTTTTTTAATATTTTAAGCAATTTTTTTTTTTTACTTTTTAGACATACCTAACATAAATATACCTAAAAAGTAAAAACATTGTGAAAATTTTTTTTAAAAATTCACTAAATACCAAAAATACAAAGAAAAAAAATCGAAAATTCAGTACATTTTTTGTATTTTTATGTATTTTTATATATTTATTAATTTTTTAAAATATTTTTTCACAAATTTTTTACTTTTTAGATACATCTAAGTAAGGTGTATCTAAAAAAGTAAAAAAAAAAAAAAAGTTTAAAATTTTAAAAATATTCACTAAAAACAAAAAAACACGAAAATCAAAAAACTCAGTTTTCAAAAAACTTAATTCAAAAAACTCAAACCAAACACACTAGATAGTATTCCAATTGAGTGCAAGGATTTCTTGTAAAAACAGTGAAGAAAATAAGCAACAAGTGTTGCCATCTACACAAGACATCCTACTGTAACTGACCTTATCACTCCTCATCACTGTTCTCGAAGAAAGATTAGTGATTCAAATGATTGAAAATTATATTTTGTTCATTAACCAACGAACCGTAGTATTAATAACTTAGGTAGTTCCAGAAACTTTAGGATAAAAAGGGAATGAATGATCACATGGAATGGAATACAAGCAAAAAATAACAATACTCTACTATTGACCAGTTGTAAGCATTAAAAATTTTGGGGCGGTCATTTGCAAAGTGCCAAAATATCAACAGTTATACTCCAACTTATTGGATTTATATGTCACTTGGCCAAATAGAAGCAAAGCCAAAACTCAAATAGTACCACCTGGACAATTCAAAGAAATGCTAAATCACACATGCCCTCACTACATGGGTCATCAAGATTGTCTCAAGCTCTAGCAAGTATTTTTAAAATTGATTGCTTGACTCAGCTTTCTAGCACTACTAATTCTAGCAATCCCAATCCCATCATGTACTCAGTGAAAAGCATATCGCAAACCTAGACAGTGTTCTCAACCTTTGTCCTATTATGTAATGAACAAATAGCATTGAAATGTTATGTCTACCACTTTTCTTTTAGAAAAGAGCCACTTATTCCAAGTGTCAATCACTTCATTTACAGAAAAGAAATGCCCACCTTACAACATTTCTAATCTAAAGCACAACCCACACAAAAGTTTAAATGCACCATGTCGGCTTAAAAACACCTCCAATTAAAAGACACCAAGTCCATCAAATTCCATAATTCTGCAAATGGAATGCCTCATAATAGTGTGAGCAACAGGAAAAAAAAAAAAAAACGCCCCAACCCTAAAATAGAAGCAAATCAAATATTGTAAGATTACAATTCTTGCTCTCGCCGTCAAAAGCAGGTGAATTAAAAAGGAAACATAATGGAATCACTGGGTTAAAGTCTCTGATTAAGGAATACAATAGTTCGAGTATGTAAACGTGAAGCAAAAACAAAGAACAAGTAAAAACTTCAATTCTAAGACAAAAAGCAATAAGCTTTGCTTAACACTCGCCTGCATCGAATTGTTGGCCGTCTGTGATTTCTCTGGCGCACCCATCACACCGCCGCTCTTTCCAAACTGAAAAAATTCCCAGAACAAAAGCTACAGAGATTGAATTGAACAAGGTGGATTGAATTGAAACTAGGGTTTATGAGGACAAGGAGAGAGAGAAAGAGGGGAAGGGATAATTTAAAAAAAGGAGGTTTAGTTTCGGGCTCTGGAAGGGTCAATGAAAACCCTAAACCGCCATTGACGTCGCAGTGAACCTTCGCTGCTCTCTCTCTCTCTCTCTCTTGTTTTTTATTTTATTTTGGGTGAATTGTGTGTGTGTCTCTGTGCTCGACTTTTGAAAGTAGTTTAGAGGGCACTGAAATCTCTGTATTGCCCATTTGGTTTTAATGGAACTACACGTGGGTGCCATTGGCCTTGTTGTCCGCGCGCGAGGAATGCTATGCTAATGCGCGCGCTTTGTTCCCGCGATCCAATCATGACTCGTCTAGTAGTGTGTGCGTCCGCCGTCCTCTTCTGTGGCGCCCACACCCAATCGTAAAATTGGAAAATCACTGTTCAGTTGAGTTGGTAAAAAATTACAAATACATGATATAAAAATTTATAATTTTAATTATTAATATTTATAATATATATCTTTATAATTAGCTTTTACTGACATAATTTTTTTATTATTTGTCATGTTATCATATTGATATGATGTATTAAATCAATAAAATTAAAAAAAATATTATTATTATTGATAAAATTCCTTAAATTTCTACTCCTATCGTTAAGATTGATAAAATTCCTTAAATTTCTACTCCATTCCTTAAATTTCTACTCCTATCGTTAAGATTGATAAAATTCCTTAAATTTCTACTCCTATCGTCAAGACGCATTACTGATGTCATATGTGGAACCTATGAAATAACTTTTCATACCAACATTCTTCTAGTGTTCGTTAGCCGCACACAAACTCGTGATTAAAAATCTTAATGAATGATTTATGTGGAATATTTTAGGTTGCGATTTAGGTGGGTTGAATCCGAACAATTCAAATTTAGTATGAATTTTTTATAATTTGAATAAGATATTTTTAAATTCAATACAAAATTTTAGAAATTCAAATTAAATTTGGCTGGACTTGAACAAAAATATTAAATAATTCAAGTAATCCGAAACTTGAATTATATATATATATAAATATATAAAAATATTAAATTAAATATACATATAAATTATTAGTCATTATATGATATTAAAGTAAGTTAGATTATTAAATCGTATTAAATATATATTATATATGCAAATAACATAAAATCTTACTCTTTTTTTTCATTCATAAATTGTAAAGACTATTATAATAGCATCTCTCTTACATTATATAAATTATTTATTTTGATGGTATTAATGATTTTTTATTTAAAAAAAAGGTATAAATAGAGTCAGATTTTAATAATTTAATAATGTAATTACAAAAAAAAAAAAAAAAACTGAAATTTATTTATAATTTAGGCAATTCGGGTTTAACTCAGGTCAGGATTAGAAAGGCAATCTCGAGTTACAATTCGAGCCTAGACAGGTCTCAGCACAACTTGAACTAGGTTTGAACAACTTTCTAACTTGTCCAAACCTGCCCAAATTGTACCCCTAGAATCTCCCCTCATATTTATCCATTAAAAAATAACGAATTGCGGTTGATAACTGAAAAAAATTACCCAAAACAACAATGATAGAGACCACTAATTTTGGACCTCTAAAAAGACCACTAATGACATGGCACTCAATAAAAAAAGAAAAAAAAATACACCTAGACAGGTCTCAGCACAACTTGAACTAGGTTTGAACAACTTTCTAACTTGTCCAAACCTGCCCAAATTGTACCCCTAGAATCTCCCCTCATATTTATCCATTAAAAAATAATGAATTGCGGTTGATAACTGAAAAAAATTACCCAAAAATAGTGTTTGGATCAAAATTTTAAAAATTTACTAATAAGATTGGGAATCAACTATTCACCCAAAAAAAGATTGGGAATCAAAAGTAAAAAAATAATTGTTCAAAAAATTATGAATGACACCTAATTATCTTTATGATTCGTCACTGCATAACTTCAATGGTACAGTATACTCTATTATTCTTCTACTCTTTTTTATCTCATTCCCAATTATCTTCTTTCACTTATCGATAATTGTAAACCATAACCTCTCCCTAGTTTATAAATTCCAACTTTCTTAACCCCTAAACTGCAACCCAATTCAATGTAATGTTTAATACCACCAATCCTCTCGTCCTTTGTTGTCTTAAGGCACACAACCAGTCCACAGGCTCCACATATACTGCCAAATAATCAACAATGATTCAATTCTTTTTTTTTGTTTTCAACATTAATATCATTTGTACGTGCGCGAAATAATCTTCTCGTATAATCCTATTGATCAAGTTTGCACTCCTCCAAACGTCGTCGCTTTGTCACCTGAAAATACAAACGTGAGCTAGCCGGCGGGTGTGTGCCGAAAACCTCTCCGGTGCCTAAGTCAACAAATAGACAATAGACAAAAACTCTATGTATTTGAGAATAGAATTAATGATACCTGTACATAGGTCCTATTATGAGCTTTTATAGATTCCGCATGGCGTAATCCTAGTAAGACTCTTTTTCTCCTTAGTAAAGCCCTCTTAGGAATCACACTCCTAAGGATAATACATATTCTGATAACACCCTACTCACTACCAACCAAGTGAGATGGCTCAAACTTCTTTACCTCGGCTTGATAGCAGCTCAACTGAGCTAGCATGGCCTTGCGCTACGCCAGACAGAACCAGGACGGTATTCGACCAAGATAAACCAGTTCGATACCTCGCCACCATTGCACCCCGGTCCTTCTTGGATCAAATATAACTACCTCAGTCCAAACATTGGGCCGAATAACCGTCCAGTCTATGACCGAGCTTAATCCATTCCTATTTCCGCTCACAGCGCAGCCCAATGACCAAGAGAATGTACCTAGCTCGGTCTATTTCAAATGGTCTTAGCTCGGCCCAATTTGCACATAAATTGCCCTCTCAATTGCCCATTAATTCCATCTACAGTGCATGATTCAGATTAGTCTTCTCAAGTCGTGCTAAGATATTCCAACTAACTGAACCAAAAGCAACCCAACCGAAGTAAAATACTCCTTCTATCTGAACTACAGACACATTCAACCCTAGGTAGCTCGATTTTTTAGAACCGTGCCTGTTACACAGCCCGTCTTTTCGTGTATCTGACATCATGTCCTTACTGGGACACGTGGCACACGTCCATTGCTTCTTCGTACTGTGATAGCCATCTCACATTTATTAAAAAAAAATGTTTGAAAAGTCTTGCCGTTTTTGTGTCTATACAAAACCCATTTCTTGAATAAAACACTCTCACTGTTCATCTTCTCTCCCCTACATGAGTTCCACATCTGTGCCTCCTGTGCCCCAGTCCCAAACCAAATAACTATAGCATCTGCTTCGCTTGTCCTCTTGCTGGTTGGATTTTGTCTTCACGCTTTTAAACTCGTAAGTTGCTAATGCCTCTTTCTCCCTTTTGCTGATGTTCTTTTTTATTCATCTCTATACTTCCAGTACTTAACCTCCATATATGTGTGTTATATGCACTACAGCGTTTAAGCAAAATATTATAAACCCAAAACCTCACGTTCAAACCTAAACACACATATATGACCTTTAGAACATGATCTTTGATCCAAAATCGTACTGTGACCGAACTAGGCACTTGTTTGTGACCTTTAGGCTAGTACTTGACCGAACTAGAAATGCATTGATCACTAACCGTGCTATAAACCTTGAGCCGGCCCTGTTTTATGGCCGAACTAGAAAATGGTCTGTAACCCATTATAACCAAGCTAGGTTTATTTTACTTTGCCTTTTTACTTAACCCGGTCCAGTTATCTGGGCATAACACCTTTTGTTTCCACTTTGCAGACTTGACTGGGTTGGCCAGGCACACCCTTGCACTTTGTCCCTGGGCGATTTTGCTCAACCGAGCCATCCAAAGTCACACCAACGCCGAGCTAGGCTGTCGTGCTCATTTAAACATAACAATCTTTAAGTTTAATGGGTAAATACCGATTCTTGGTGGACTCGCCTGGAGCCATGGACGAATTTCGAAGAGACTACCATATTCTAGACGACGTCCGCCTCTCCTTAGCCAAGCTAGACACCACACCCTAGGGCAAACCGGGGTTTCGTCCCTTTTACACTGATATCAATCGTAAAAGCCGGGCTTCGATTCCCCGTACAGCCCCTTATCTGAGAGTTCCTTAGGCAAACCAGATTGTGTCCTACCTAATTATCCACAAACACTTACAGAATAATAAATGGTATCGCCGAGCTAAACCGTCGGCTCAGCATTAACCTCGGATTGGCCGAGCTATTTCATCAATATTCGCTTGGCCAAAATGACGATGGTTAAGTTTACTACCTCAGAGTAAAAAGAGACCGAGAAAAAATTATCAAAAACACACCTGACAAAGATTTAAACGATGATGATTTCTTCTGGGTTTCTGGCCATTTTGAAGATTAGGAAGCCCAGATACCGGGCTACAATATAAACTGGAATAAAAGAACAGCTGGTAAGAACATTCCGGTTTAAATTTCTTTGCTGTTCCAACAACCACTGTGCTAACCCATTACGTTCCTTGTCTCTTTTGCAAATTTCAACCAACTTAAATCAAATTACGCTTATGCCAATCAAGATGCCCTTCATGACGCACTTCGATACCACCATCGAGATTGAATCAAGCTGCTAAATTTTGAGCCGACCTATCGGTATAACGAAAGGAGAAAAACTAAGGTTATTGACTTCCTTCTTGAACCATCACCCGAACCGGACCCCAACTTGCCCCAGATCAACCTTATCCCACTAACAGAAGAGCAAGAGATGGCCAAGAAGAGAGCTGTCTGGGCTTTGATCACTGAACAAGCATCCAACTCAAGCGCTAAGGTCCAGACCGAGCAGACTACAACCGGTCAAACCATTGAAACCATTGTCGCATTGCCCTCCTCCAGGGCTACCTCATCTTGGCCCAGCAAGAGGCTGCGCACTTCGACCTCTCAACCGCAACAGCTGATGGATGAAGAGGACGCTGAACCATAAGAGGCCGAGCCATCCGTAAGCCAACCGAGACAAGGGGGAGGCGTTTCCAACCGTGCTAGCTCTTCTTCGGCGTGGGCGCCAGCTATAACTTTCAAAGGCCGTGCAATTACCATGGCCGACTCTGTTACCGCCGAGAAAGATCATCTACTGGCTTTTGGTTTATCCAAAAGTTTGTGCCTTCCTGTCGATA